GGGTGGGGTGGGGTATAAAAGATCACAGGCCAGATAGCAGATCTCTGTTCTGTGAAATGTGGAAGGCCTGCATTTGCTCTGACTGGGGGACAAAAGAATTCTATTTTTAATATTTAGACTCGCCCCCATATTCATCACAGATATTACTATACTGTCTCTGGAATAACCAGTTTACTGCTTTAGTGAGACTATCATTGGTTCATAAAGTAGATATGAATCCCTATATTTGGGCATACCTTGTGTGTTGGTATTACTATATTGTCTCTGAAGTAACCAAATTACTGCTTGTATTGGTAATAATATACTGTCTCAGAAATAACCAATTACTGCTTCAGTGAAAGCTCTTGTACAAGACAGGATGGTTTACCATTTAGTGATGCATCATTGGATATGATGTAGTCAGGAATTGGTTTTGCATCTGAATTGGTTATACACTATCTACAAAATAACTGATTACATCTTGGTAAAGCATTATTGGTTGTGATGTAGTTATGAATCTCGGTAATTTTATTATCATATAAATACAAAAGGTATGAATTTAGATAACTATAATGGCCACAGGATAGCCGATTGTCGCTTGGTTGGAAGCAATGTTGGTTATGATGTAGTATGAATCCCAGGATCTATATTACATCAGAATGAATTATCTGCGCATGGTGTAACCATACTAGATAACCAAATTATTACTTTGGTATCACTGGTTTATGATATAGTTAGGAATATCAGTATTGAAGTATTCTGAGTTCATACTTTAGGCAATAGTATAACTTTACAGTACTTAGTTCAGTGCAGGCCCAGTGAGGTGTAATCCATTAGGGTTGCAGCTACAAAGTTTTACAGGCAAGCCATCTTTGGTGGTAGCCAGCAATAACTAAGCCCATGACAGGTCATTTAAGGTTTGTACCATGATGTTAACACCTAACTTACATCCTGTAAATTACTAGGAGGTTCGGTTCAGTGATGACTTGGGCATTCTATGGCCTACGGCCATTATTAGTATAAAAGCGCCAGGTCTCGTCTGATCTCAAACGCTAAAGCAGGGTCTGCTCTGGTTAGTACTTGGTTGGGACATCTCCTTGAAATACCAAGTGGTGTAGGCTTAGATGTCTGGCAGCCTATTTTTTTTATGGCAACCCTCAACCCCTTACACAGCTTAAGCACCCTTTTCTGTGTCCCCTGGGTCTCACAGGGTTATTCTTACATGGCTTCCCTCTTTATCAGGCATGCATATTATAACCGTAAACCTTGGGACTCATTTACAGCAGCTGGTTGCTGCTTGGGGTCCCTGCATATCAGATAGTGTCCTTATATAATTTGGGGACATCTATGTTACACCACATTGATAAACTGATGGTAGTATAACACAGATGGCAGTATGGGGCTATAGCCAGACTTGCCACTTGCACTTTTTAGCGATATGTGCAGGGGAAGTTCGGTCTACCTTGATGTGTGTGTATATAGGTGCATTAAGCCAGTGCACAGAATTAGCTCTGGATAACACGGGGGGACAGGGTTCTCTATGCACACTCTATAGAGTCTCCTGTCGGGTAATCCCGGTGTGCTGCACACCTGAGTAGTAGTTGGTACCTGGGGGGTTGTATTTGTTGCAGGACAGGGGTAGATTCCTCTGTTTATTCTAACCAATCCATTGAGTAGCAACAGGCTTGCTCATCCAGGCTATAGAGGTTGTCTGGTGCTACTTAGAAGTCACTCCCCCTTGGAGGAAATCCAAGAATATTTTGGCCTGTTCAGGGCCTAACGAAGGCTGCGAAGCAGCATAACACCAATGCCTGGTGACTTGGGCTATCCATTGACCTATCATCCTACAGATACTGAGGTGGTTGGGCGGCACCACCACTTTTATTTTTAATTGTGGATGATGTGTTCCTTGTTTTAGGTGGGTGGATCCTATCTCTACTGTGTTGCCCTGAAAAATTCCTGGTAAGCAAGTTACCAGGTACCTAACTTGAATTCGTTTTTTTTCCTCATTAATTTTAAATTGTCCTGATGTAGGTGTGGCACGATGCACATTTGTAAAGGACACCGCTGTGCTTTATAAATGTGCGATGCTTTTTTTGTTTTTAAAGTAGCAGTATGGTTGTGGTAATGCCATCCCACTACTTCATAAATGGACCTCTAAGTACTACAGTAAGAGGGGTGAGTATGATACTCAGACAACTAGCTTTTGAACCATAAAAGTTAGCAATGGGTGTGTTGTCCTCTAACCAAGCTGGTTCTTATCATAGGACACTAAGGAGTTGAAATGTTGTATGTGCTCTACTCCGTTGGGCCAAAACGGTTCCTTCAAACAGCTGATCGAGGAATGCCTGGGCGGAAGAGTTTCAACAGCAGCATCCACTGTGCAAATTTCAGCTGGTTCATCAGGAACCGGACAGAATTTGTACAATGTATATGCGACTTAACTTTAAGGCCCCGTTCACATGTAGCAACTTATCGCGCAATTTCTGCCGGACCCTTTTTTCGGCGGATTTTGCACGATTTTGCTTTTTTTCTATGGAGCCCGACGGGAGAAGGTCGCGCTACCGTCGCTGGAACGTCGCCCCGAAAGTCGCGCTATCCCGGCCGCTGCAAAGGTATGTCTGTGAATGGGTCCTTAAGCTTCAGTACTTTCTGAATCACTGACCTGAAACAAAAATTCAGATCAGGAGTTCTTCCTGCATAGTTATTCTAGGCCAATTATTCAAACATTAAAACGGGCAATTAGCAGTTTTAGATGAAATTTAGCCGTGACTGTCATATTTCTGTTGTGACAGGTTTTAATTTAATATTTCCCTAAATTTTATTTCGAGAGCCAAGTTTTTCCAATTCAGCTTAAACAATGTTACACGTTCTTTATAATAAAATGGTAAACAGAAGCATCACTTTTATATGGAAACTGGTGATGTAGATGTAAGGATTATATCATTTCTGTCTCGCCACAGGCACCTGTATAATGATGAAAAAGTTCCAACGCTGAAGGAGGCAGTCGAAGAATGTATACATCACAATCTGGTGATTTACTTTGATGTCAAGGGCCACGCAGCTCAGGTAATGACTGAAAGTCTAACAGAGGTAGACAGCAGAGGTGGTTCTGGGCCATGGTTTACTTTTCTTTATACTGCACATATACTTCTAACAGCCAGTTAAAGTGCAACGGTGATGTTTCTTTTCTAGTCAGAAAATGAACAAAAAAACTAATTTTAAAAAGCAGCAAATAATGGTAATAATTAATACATACATTATTTAAACTCTAAACGTGCCCAACCAAAAAGGTTAGAACCTGTAATCACATATCAGCATTTCTTACTTCAAATATTTTGTCAGAAACACAATAGTTTGTCATCCAAAATATATAATTGTATAAATAGTCCCTACAATACTATGAAAATTGCTATATTGCAAATATATATCCAACATAATAATGAGTATGTTTGCAGCTATTGTCCTTGTTAGGAGAATTTTATTTATATACTCCAACATTGTGACCAAAGAATTACACAGAGTACCAAACTCATAAGAAAACCTACCACTCACAAAGTGTAATTATAGAGGGTAAAGTAAGATACTGTACACTTGGGCTTCAACTTCTAGAAGAGCAGTGTGTACAGTATGTTTTTGCAAAGCTTAAAGCAAGCTTCAGGAAGCTTTTTGAACCCTTTTTAGTGGAGTAGCAGCTTCAAGCTTGTTTAAAAAGTCACCTTTGGTCTGGCCATCTTGAATGAATGCAGACGCGGTCCTGTGTGCTGTGTGCGGCGGTGGAAGATGGCGGACACAGGTACTCGTTTTAGACATCCAAGCATTTGCACGAGTACGAGTACTCATGCAAATACTCGGTATCGCGGCCGATACCGATGCTTGTATCAGTGCATCCCTAGTCTTTACCGTTGCAATAATGTAGGTTGCTTTAATGCCACCCAATCACTTCTGCAGAGCTCGGTGATGGCAGCTCGTAATTGAGTTCCCTACTGTGTGCTGTGTGTCCCTCACCAAAGGGCATGTGATTGGTTTGAAATACCATGATCATGAAAAATGTATTCTGTTCACTGTATATGGTTAACATGATAGTGTTTGAGTATATAGATTCTTTTTTATATAACATACTTTTTTCTCTACATTTTTATAAATTTCAATATCGCCAGCAAAAATGACAGTGTTTGTGGCAAATTATAACATTGCCTGTTGTGTTTTATTGACATTTGTGCATTTAAGATGCCTTGTGGGTGTGGTGCTTTGAAAGTGTGAGCATGCTGCATGTTTAATGGAGGTTCTAGCAAAATGGCCATTACACATGAATGAATGTCAATGCATGTAAAACGTTGCTAAAACACACACGGCACTCCACACCAACAACAAACTAGAATGCTTATGTATGAATAGTGCCTTGCTCACATGGTTTTACCCCTTCTTATGACCATGAGCTTTGAGCAGACCAAATTTTGCAGCATCCATAAGCACTGATTTGCTTGACAACTCTATGATCAATCTACTTAAATATTTTTAAATGAAAAAAGGATATATAAGGCTTTTATTTGGTACACAGTTTGATTATTTGAATAAATACCATGCACAAGTTTTTTTTTTTATAGGCAAATTGGACAAAAATGTTTAAAAGAATATACTGTAATTGGTTTTTTTTCTTTTCATTTGTAATTATATATGACCATTACAGTATCAAACAGTGGTATCTGCAGGCTAAATATGGGCTTTTTTAATTTATTTTAAATTACCCTCCATCCGGCATGTAATGACATTGTCTGTCATGTTGATTGGGAACCAACTGTTAATAGATTTTAAGCAGCAAACACCTTCAGCAAGAGGGGGATAAGGAGAACAAAGTGTGCTTTCTCTCTTTGTGCCCACACCTGCTGAAAAATATGAATGTACATAATGTAAATAATAATATAGTCAAGCATTGTTTAATACGTGTCATTTATTTGAAATAAAATACACAAATGCAGCGTTACAGACAAAGAATAAAACGGTATGCAAATTTTTTGAAATCGCACTGTACTGGAACGCAGGGCATTGCAGTGCGACGATAAGACTGCGGACGGGAGGTGCATTTGGGATCCATTGAAATGAATGACACCGCAACGCACCTCGTGCAGTGAAATTTGTCAGGCTGCAACTGAAAATCACTTTTATAATATAATAACCAACCTTTAATTTAAATAACACACTACGAAAATAAAATCTATTTTTAATTTTAATTTATTTCACTTTATTTTTTAAAAACTTTTTTTGTTTTACTTTATTGCTGGGAGCAATAGTCAGCCTGCTATTAGATATTTCTAATTGTAATAGCCAATAGCAGGCTGGCTATTGCACCCACCCACTACCTGCTGTCAATCAGTAGAGGAGGGACCTGAAGGAGAATGTTCTCCATCAGGTCCTCCTCAGTGGGCAGGAGCAATAGCCAGCATGCTATTGGCTATTGCATTTAAAAAAATCCTAAAGCAGGGTGGGTATGGCTTCCAGCCTTTAGATGCAGAGGGGGAACGG